CCCATCCCATCCCATCCCCATCCCCATCCCCATCCCCATCCTCATCCCCATCCCCATCCTCATCCCCATCCCCATCCCCATCCCATCCCATCCCCCTTCTCTGGCCGCACGGGCTCCGTGCCGATGTTAATCCCCCCTCTCTCCTTTTCCGCCGTGTCTACACCGCACATTATCCCTTAAACAAAGCTCGCCCACCCTGTTATTGTAATGTCAACGCTGAAGCTGAGATAAGCCCTACAGACAATTTATAATTACACAGCAATAGCTCTTGTGCGCTGCACGGAGGGGCCATGAGAGAGGATTTAGGTCTTTCACGGAGCCAGCGTTTGACAGGTCTGTGCTGGCATTTCATCCTGACACCTCCTTGCACCCGACTCCACACGGCACACTCGGGCTTTGTTGTGTGATCTCAGGTGAAGAGAGCACGTAATGGGCAATAATTGCGGCCGATTACTGTTTACCTGTTAACTCTGCTTGGCAGAGCAGCCGTGATGGACACGGGGACTGGAATATTCCCTTTTATCGCCTGTAGCACTGAGAGTGAACTGCTGCTTAATTCAAAGGCTGAAATCTATAAAAAATAAGACGAAACCCATCATTAAATTTCTCTTAGTGGCTATGTGCATAATTCATCCAAACACCATCAAATATAGATGGGCTCGTGTCAGGCTGAGCAGGGCGGGCACAGCTCATCCGCTGCTCCCGGCGGGGCACGGGCACCGTGCGAGCCCAGGGCTGCTCCCGATCCCAAATCTCTCCTGCTGCCGTGCTGTTGACTAACATTTTTTTCCCCCCTAGAGCTTAAAAAAAGCTTGCACAGATTACAATATCCAAATTCTTTATTGCTCCCTGCTAGGGTCTGAACTTTGATTAAGAGCTGAATGCCCCCGATTTCAGCAGCCACAGCCCGGTACACAGCCCTCATTCCACACTGCAGATGTCAATCTGCAGCAGTTCAGTGAACGCTTGCAACAAGTTTTCTAGGAAGTTTTTTCCAATTATTTGAAAAACAACAAGTTATTTAATAAATCACAGAAAGTTGTTTTGCAAAAGTATCCTTTGAACCACTAGATATTATTTTGAATGCCAATTTTTCTTCCCACCTTATGGCAGGATAAAGATACCCCACTCAATTTTCATCAAAAGCACATGAAAGCAATTAAGGCTCCTGTAGTTTCTATGGAAATAAGGGATGCAAATTGGGATTGTGTGGTGCCTTTTTTCTTGAATTTATCCATAAAAATGCAAATATTCTTCAACAGATACTGAAATATTGGCCTTTTTTAAGGGAGCAGAATACACAGATGAGGCTCTTTTGTCCACTGGCTCTTCTGGCAGAGGTTTGACAGCCTGTGGAGCACAAGCCTGCAAAAACACAATGAGCCCTGCCAGAGTACGGATGGCAGCAAAGTAACCTCCAAGAGATGTGTGCCCAGCCCAGAGGTCTGGGGCTTCCCCTCGCAGGTCCTTCAGTCACCAGCATTAGCAAGTGGCTTCTCCTGCCTTTTCACACAGGGGGACCCACCTCACCCACAGGTACTGCATCGATCCCTGCCCATAGTGCCAGGTCACCAGCCCTGTGGCACTGAATTAGGATAGCGATGTCACCTCCTTTGTGTGGAAAGCATAAGCCAAGGGACCAGCACAAACAAATCACATTTGATTTGATATATCTGCTTTACTTTCCTGCCAGATATTTCAGGGCAGAGCATCCAGTACAGAACATCCTAGTCTGTTGCTGGGACTCATCTTGTCCTGCAGCAGGGATGAATCAAAACCCTGCAGCACAAAGTTTAATTAATTCCCTTTCAGACTGGAGGATACAGAAGAGTTAATGCTAGCAAAGGTCTCTGGATTATTCCCCAAAGTGCCATCCAGCTCTCTCCTCTCTCTGCAGGCTGGATGTAGTGAGCATCACACAGCATTCACAATAAATAATCCAACAGCCTGAGGAGCTGCCAATCTGCAGCTGGGCACCTCATGCCTGTCAGCTCCGGGCACTCAGTGCCTTCCATGTAGGAGGCTGGGGCTCCTCCCCAGCATGTGCACTCTGCCTGCGGGTTTACCAAGGCTGAAAAGGTCAACAAATGGTATTTCAGATCACTCTTGTTTGCCAGAATTGATGACAAACCGTGGCAACTCAACTAGTAAAACTCTAAGCATGAACTAGAGCATGCTGCAGCTGCACAATTATCAGCCTGCGATTAATTAATTGTGCTGTCACTATATGCACCTGAGAACAACAGTAAGATCAAAGAACTGAACAGAGATCAAAATGAGTTGTAGATCACCTTACTTACAGCTGAAAGTGCCAATTAGATACAGCAAAGACAGCCTGGCTTAGCTGCTTAACAGCTGCTTTCCTTTTCTGGAAAGGAAAAGTCAGTCAACTGACTGTAGGAAAAACCCCATGACAGCTGGATTGCTTCCAGCCAGGGCAGAGGGGAGCTTGATGGACTGTCCATTGAATTCTCCTCTCCAAGGGTACAGGGTATCTCTCTGTGCCTGTTACACTCTACAGCATCCACACCTTGGGCTGTGCTGGGGAGTCCCACTGGCCGTGTGGCTCTGGGACCCAAAGGCCCTTCCAGCAGGCCCAGGAGCCCCAGGAGAGCCAGAAACAGGAGCCCAGCTGCTGGCACATCCTCTGCTGGGGACCCTAGGGAGGGGCTGCCTGCAACCCACCACCTGCCCACCGGGTACCGTGGGCATTGTGAGGCTGAGCCATGCAGGCAGGTTGTGGAAGTGACTCTGGTGACAATGCCCAAGGTCTCAGTGTGACAGTGACATTTCCCAAGGCGTCAAGGGCTGACCCACAGCACCATTCTCTCCTGTCACCTCTGAGCTGCCCCACACTGACTGAGCCAAGCATGGCTGTAGTTATGGTGTTGATTTATAATTTCCTGTAAAGTTATTTGAAAAAGACTTTCCAGCTGCACTTTCCTAGCCTCCAGGAGGGACTTTTCCTGCCTGTAGACAGCCTCTCCCCTCTGCCAGCACACTGACAGCAGCAGTGAGGAATTCTGTAGATAGCTATCTTTCAGTGAGCAACACTCTAGCTCACCCAAACATACAAGCTCCTTGGAGGAATTCAGAACCCATTTCTAGCACATGTTAAACTGGATGCCATGTTTGTGACCACAGAGAGCAGCTCTGACTACTGGACTACTCTGCCTCATCTCTGAGCTCCAGGCTGAGGTGATGCATTAGGCTGAGTTCAAGGGATGCTGCCCTTCCAGAGCTGGCTCTGAGTCCTTCAAAGTCCCCACACTCCTCACCAAGCACCCAGCCTCTGAGGCCAGAAAACATCTGCCCAGGTGCCTGGAGGAAAGGGATTTGCTGGACTCTGTTGCTGGCACAGGAGAGATGGTGCCAGGAGGAGAGGCCAGACCAAGGAGGAGATATTCCCTAACAAGTGGGTTCTGAGCAGCCTCAGGTGCCAGCCCCATGAGACAGCTCCCACGCCCCAGTGAGGTGACTGCAGAAGCCCCGGGAAGGCACCACTGCACTGACACAGACTGCTGTACATGTGGCTGCTGGACTGACTGGCCTTCCTTACGTGTGCCAGCTTTGTCTCCATTGTCTCCTGTTTATCACATTGTTTAATTTCTCTTCTTAATTGACTCAGACATTTTTTAATTTCTCTGTTTAATTGGTGCAGACTGAGAGGCTGCAGGCAATGTCATCTTCACACCATCCCTCAGAAACCTCTCCAGCGTGGGGCTGACATCATTGGCCATACACAGCAAGTTGTGCAGAACCTACAGACTCTCCCAGCTGGGGTTGAGGAGCAGGAACATGGAGCAGATGTAAATCATGGATGTCTGCAGGACAAAGGCAATTAGCAGGGTGCTGTCCTGGGCTGTAGAGAAACTGCTTTCATTTAACATACAAGTGGGATGGCAGGCAGACAACTCATCCTTGAACACAGATGACACAACTATTTACATCATTCAAATCCAGAAGTTCCTGCAGGGAGCTTCTGAGACATCTCACAATGAGGTGAAAGCAGGTAAAGACAGTGACCAACAAAATCCTGCCAACACATGTGGTCTTGGAGCAGAGACTGCAAGATCTATTTAAGCCACATGTTTTTCTTAAGCAATACAGATTCAACAGATACCTGAAAAACTATTGAACAAACGTTCCTTTGTATTTTAAAATGCCTTGCATCTCACATTTTGTACTTTTCCAGTCACATGAATTGCTTGAACAGATGCGTTTATCTCACTGGGTTCAACAGGGACAAGCCAACGGCTGCTTCATCTGCCTGGTTTGACAAACCCAGGGGCTTCAGGAAGTGATTTTCCACACAGGCTTCTTTCAGAGGGTGCTGGACAGTACTAGAAGAGCTAGAGGTGAAAAATGCAAGTTCAGACTTTCCCTGGAGAGCTGCAAGTGTTTGGAGATATGCAGCACTGCTCACTGAAAAGATTTTTAATAGCTTTGACCTTTGTGGGGTCTGTACAGTCTCCTTTTGTCAAAAAGTGTGTGTGGAAGAATTGTGGGAAAGAGCTGCAGATAATACACATGTTCTGCAGCCTGTGAGGGGATTACAGAGCACTCCTTACTTGCTTGGATTATTGTTCCCAAGTTTAGACCATCAGCATCAGCTGCTGCAGGTGTATGGGGATTTATCATCAGAAAGGGCAAACCATTGCTGGTCATGAAGCAATATAAATATTAGTTATTGCAGATGACTTATAAATAAATCATTTGAAATTACAAAATTAATCAGACAATTCATCTGACAAATAAGTATTTGATCAGCTCTGTCTGAACCACTGTGGTCAGCCAGGCACTCTGAAAAGAATCCCTGAAATTTATGGGAAGGGAAATTATTGTTTATGAAAAGCAAGGGAATTTATCCCTTCACCTCAGGAGGAGCAGGCACAGAGAGCAATGGCCTGAACATAAACTGTGGGGCTTGGGCACTCCAGACAAGGCAGGTTCCAGAAGGTTCCTGGGGACAGGGGTGAGAGCAGCTCAGGTCTGGACTCCAGCACCCACCAGGCTGCTGGGGACCGACCCCTGCATGGACACATCCGTGCACAGGGCACTCACCAGCGGCCCCGAGGGTTTGGGCAGGGAGGGGACTGTTGCCAGCCAGCTGCTCACATCATTTTCTAACTGTGCCAAGCTAACTTGAGCAGGGGTTTATTTTTTTTCCAAACCTACAAAATGAGTATGTGTCAATCTAATAGCTCTGCGTATTCTAAGTCTCATCTGTATTCAGCACATCACCAAAATGAGAGGAAGAAAATAGCCCCTGAAAATAAAAGTGTGAGAGAGAGAAGGAGACACGAGCCATTAAAAAAGCAAACAGCTCCCTGCATGTGCTCTGCCAAAGGGGGTGCTGGACACAAACCCCTCCTCCTCACATTCCACATCTCCAGTGCCTTTATCAGAGCCACATTCTGAAGAGTGTGGATCCCTTGAAAAGGAAAGATTTCATGTCCCTTCCGTATATTTTAGGAGGAAGCTTCCTATAAAATCACATACATGTAATTTTCCTACAGTCTCCAAATCCCCAGCTGCTTTCAGCTGATGTCAAGAAAACCTGTTATCTGT